ATGCTCGTGTCTAGATTAATATAGTGATCTATTTTTACTTTACCATATATTTATCCCGACAATGAATGTAATGAATTGGCGGGGAGGATGGAAGCATGGGTGTAAAGTTTGTGACGAATGCAATCATAAATAGCGGACGGGATATATAAACAATGTCTGTGACATCAAAATTAACATGTGACAGAATAGTGATTTTCCGATAATCTGTAAAATTTTTTTTCCTTTGTCAATACAATATTACAAAAGGATGTCCACAGCAAAGTATCAGGAAAGAAATAACACAGCGATGGAATTTTTTGAGCGATCCGAAGAATGGAGTCTCTTGCATTTTCTAAAGTATCTTGACTCAGTAGAGAGTTTGAACGACTGTTCTGAAGCACATCATAAGTATAAGCTTCTTTTGACTAGCATTAAGGATGATAAAGAAGTGTCAAAAGAAAAAAGGAAAAAGGCCGAACAAGCATTGTTAGTTTATGAATCAACAGTTAAGTACTTTTTTATTTAATATTATCGTTATTATCGTCTAGAGGAAGGAGGAAGGAGTGTCGGTTGAGGCTGAAGAACCCTGCCATCGAGGTGGTAGGCACTCGTGCTAGGTTGAGGCTGAAAAACTTTCATCGAGGTGAAAGGTGCACCTCCAGACTCATTTTAAGCACTTAAAAATAAGCACCAGGGAGCTTCAGTAAAATCCAACGAATAATTATCTTTTTTGGTTTTAGAATGAATCTCGCTCTTCCGAGATCAAAGAATTTTGGCGAGAAAGAAATCTTCGAATTGTTCTTAAGGAAAAGACTGTGAGAAGTACCGAAAAAATTATCGACCAAATTAATACAGTACAAGATGAAGCGAGCGATGTTTTAGTTCTCGGTAAGATGGACAATCTAAGGAGACTACGATCAAGTATGTTTATTATTAAATTTACAGCTCTTCGTTATGTACAATGCCATTGTGTTTACTTTCCTTTGTTGACTCGGTTGATTTTTTTTTTAATGTACGTTAAGAAATTGATAATAACGAAGAAGATGGTTGCTCAAACAAACGTAAACGTGGAATGGAAAAGGTATATAATAAATCTAATAACAGTGTATCACTTGAAAATAATGATTAAATTATTGCTTTGTATAATTAGAATGAAACTGAACGGCCACAAACTCCGGAAGCTAAAGTAATTTATTTTCCATCATATTTTTAATATAAGCCAACAAAATATCTTCTCATCACGAATATATTGTTTTTATGATCGTTTTTAGGAAGAACCTTCAACTATGGTACTGAGAGAACAAAAAAAGGTTTGCTATGCTGAGAGCTCAACAGAAACGGATTCACCGAAATCAGATTACGAAGAATTTAAGGTAGATATTGAAAGTTTTTATGCTTATATACTCATAATTCTAATATTATTATGCTATTTTTGAAATTTATCAAGGATAAAAATGAATCTACAGAAAAACAATATATCCGTAAAGTTTTTGATTCCCGCGAAGGTACACCTTGTACCACATCATATGAAGTCACAAACCCGATCATCGTGACTCCAAATAAGCCTGTTATAACGAACGCATCATACAATCAATACTCTATGCATATGATTTGTGCTTTTGGGTCAACATTACATCTTGTCAAAGAAACAACTGACAAGCAATTATATGAAGAAATTGAGAAAATTATTAAAATGCGAAATAAATCAGTCCTAAGTAGTTCAATAGTTAAAAAACTTGAAGTAATTTTACAGTCGGATTATTCAACAATTGTATCCAAGATAATAGCAGAGACAGAAGTTGAAGACAATGAAATAACAGAAGATGCTAGGTTCCTTTTTTTCATTAGAAACACTCTATTAGACTTCACTGCAACATTCAAGTTTTTGACACGGAAGGTTATAAATAGGAGTATGTCTGAAAGAACATACATTGTAGAGTGTATTTCCCCAATTCTTCGAGCTTTTAGAAATTCTTTTCCTGATATAGAATATGAATGGATAGAAAAAGTAGTTAGATCAATAAAAGGTGCAAATAACATTTTTTCATGTAATATGAAACCCCGAAAAACGGATTTGTTAATTTTGCGATTATCAGACGCGACCGAAATTTTAGATATTGAAGTTTCCGGGCCACCATTTAATTCTACTAAAAAACACACTGTAGGGGATGCAAAAAAGCTTCTTTTGTTATCTGTTTGCAGTTTATGCAAAATACTTGCCAACAATTTTGATTGTTTGATTGAAGATGCAAAGCAAGTTAGGACATATTGCATTCAAGCAATTGGCGATAGGCTCACGTTATTTGCTACTTCTCTCATTGACAAAGAAATATTTGGCTATTGAATTAGCCTCGTGCATAATACCTTTTTCATTTGACGCTATCTCATGCTATGCAAGAATTTTTAACTTTTTTGCAATAATCCGAAACGAATTTGTTAAGCAAGAAAAAATACAAAAAAAGATTCGTTCATTTATTCCTTTAGCTGATAATAATAATGAAGATTTACGAGAGTGGGTGCATCAACCCGATGCTGATTTAACAATTGTAACTGAAGATGATATAGATGAACTCTTCTTGTGAGGAAGGCTTTATTTTATGCCGAAGAAATAATTTTAGAATATATTCTGATCACATCTAAAAAGTTTTATCTGCTGTGTAAGATGGTTAGATTAAAAATAAATGTCAAGTGCTTTTAATAAAAAAAGATGCTCCCTTTTCCTAACATGTGAACAAAACTTTTAGGTCGGGTTAGAGTAGTGGCCTTAGTATAGAAAGTTCATTGTATTGTATTAATAAAACATTTCTTCAAGATACAACCTTTTAGGTAATCAATATTTCACTATGTTCGGAAACACGGAGACACAATGTTGCATCTCGGAATTTTGATGTAACTTACAATGCAACTTACAAGCAATTTTTATATGTTTACTTAGTCAAAAATTTCAAAATCATGTAAGTTTGATATGTAAGTTATAATTTAGGTTTGCAATCTTAGTCGAGATGCCAAAAGCATTATTATTCTATAGTAGATTCGAAGCTTTGCTTTGTCTGAAAAAGATTTATTATATTTTTTGTTGTCTCAAATAAAGCATTCTGGGATTTTATTGTTTTTGTAGTGATATCAAATATATACTAACTTGTGTATGATCGAGGATTTATATCTTCGCAATAAAGAATTGAATATACCCGCATTTTATATAAAAAACAAACTTCTTAAAAAAGACTCTACGAGACATGGCAAGCATACAATCTAAAGACGATTTGTTGAGAGAATTGAATTATAAACTTGTAGCTGAGGTTGATAAACTCAGAAAGGAGAATGCCAAAATAAAGGCTAAGAATATTGAACTTAAAGCTGAAAATGTAAAATTAAAACAGGCTTTAGAAGAACATGAAGCCAGATTTATGAATTTAGAGCAGAAAGATAAAGAAAAAACCAACCTAATTGCTAAACTGGAGCAGAATGATAAAGATACTGCTTCTGAAAATGCCGAACTTAAAGCTAGGGTTGCGAAATTGGAACAGAAGCAATCGCAAACCAATGAAAAGAATAATTTTATTGTTAAATCAGATGATGATGCTAAGGGAATTGATCAATCTTCAGTTAATACCATCTCTACCAAAATAAAAAATTCTAACGATACTCCGGCATCTAATAAATCTGATAATACTTCAAATTCTGATGATGTATCTAACTTTGATATATGCCAGGAATTGGAAAACCAACATCTCACATCTCCTATTCTCATAGAGCCTAAATTATCGGAAGACATGGAAATTGACGATTTCCTAGATTCAACATATAAAGAAAAGGTTAGTAAAGAAAGAATTAGGGAAAAGATACTCCGACAAAACTTATCTTCGGATAATACTTCACCGGGAGAGGTGATACCTGAGGTATCGGTTTCTTCAACTTCGATATTCAGAAACACTGAACTTGGAAAGTCTGAAATTTCAGCCAGGGGCCTCTGCCAAAATACTCATAGAAAGAAAGATGCAGAAAACATCGTACAAATGATAGCTGATGGTATTAAGGATGATGCCCAATCGAGTGACAAAGCCACTCCTTGTGATGTGATTTCAATTGAGAGTCTCAACCAAAATTCATCTACAGATTCATTGATTTCTCTAGCACAATTATTCGATAA